ACAAGTTACGGCAGCCCAGCCCGCTGCTCTGCCGACTCCACAGCACCCGCTGCATTAAGGGCCGGACACACCAGGCGATTACATCGGGCGATGTAATCGCCGTGAAATCGCCTAGTGTGTCCACTCAATCGCCGCCGATTTCATCGCCCGATTTCATCGCCCGATTTCATCGCCCGATTTCATCGCCCGATGTCATCGCATAGATCAAAACGTTTTGATATTATCGCCCGATTTCATCGCCCGATTTCATTGCCTAGTGTGTCCGGGGCCGGCGACAACATCGCCCGATTGTACAATTCATCAGCCAATGGACAACAAGCACATGCATAATTTCTGATCACTGAACCAGAGTGAACACAATGCGCGAAATCACAATGTATTTTTTTTCAGCACAACGGCGCTACGTTTTGCTGTGTCGTGTCATGCCGCGTGTGTGCTTGTGTGTGTGCTTGTGCGTGTGTGTGTGTGTGTGTGTGTGTGTGTGTGTGTGTGTGCTTCATTCACCGGCGATTTAATCGCCCGATTTAATCGCCTAGTGTGTCCACTCAACTCGCGCGATAGAATCGGGCGATTTTGTCGCCCGATTTAATCGCCTAGTGTGTCTGGCCCTTTATGGCTGAAAACAACTGCCTTCACTGCGCTTGCACACGCACGAAAACCGCACTACCTTACATATTGCTACTTACTAATACTTTGTTACTTACGTAGCCACAAATTTTTAGTCACGTACTCGAAATCTCTTCCAACACCTATAGAAACAGTGTATGACACCGATAACAAACATAGAAAGCCTTCAATCTCAATTCTTACAAACTTATACTTTGACGTTATTGAGATACGCATAAAGGCTTTAAACTACTATGGTTCTTATTATAGCATTGCTTTCCGGATGTTATGCTAATCAGAATTACTTGAAAGTTTTGTTCTGAGAGTGATTTTAGCAAGATGACTTTTCCCAGATTCTAGAGATTGTTACCATATGAGGCATTTAGTTTAGGTTTTCATAATTAGTTTACAAATCTGTGTACGTACACACCTGCACCCAGGATTGTCAAGATACAAGGTTCTGACACAACCTACAAGTCACATAGTCTCATATATCAAGGCAATACCTTATATTACCATAGATACAGAATAGTAACTACTATTACATACACCAAACTAACCACAAAATTACGATTTCTGTTTAACTGCATAAAACATGTAGATAACTGTAGGATTAGTAAATTTTAGTTAGTGAGAAATACTACAGTAAACGATATTAAGTAATGTAGTAATGTAAAATAAAAGATAGAGTCCCAAATCGTTAATTAATTTAACAATAGGTACAAAAACATGCAGAAACCCCATAGTGGAAATTGCATAAAGTTGATATCTATAGTCACTAACTCAAAAAACTAGATAGAATTTGTAAAGACCACAGAGTCTGAAGCAGCAAAGATATCTGATAGGAAAGACCAGTGCCTCATGCGAAGGTGAACACTATGTAACGACTCTATAGTCATTATATATATATATATATATATATATATATATATATATATAGCAGCCGCTGGATCAGGCACACACCTACATGTCCCCCAGTTCAGTGAAAAGCAGGTTTCTCTACTTCCATTCATCGTCATCGATTCTCTCATCAACGGCAGAGATCTCTTATTTTATGGGCATGTCCCAGATAATTTTCTATTAGAAGACACTACTCCGTAGAAATGACAATGGCGGTGTTCGCTTCCAACTTAATGACGTGTGAGCTAACATGTGAAATACACCCACATAAAGACACCTAGACGGGTTTCAGTTCATTTTAAAACTGAAGTACTGAAGGCACGTGACAATATAGACCTAGCCATAATATATTTCAACTATAACCTGGCTGGTGAACTAGGCTGAAATACAACTGATATTGGATGACAGTGCGTGCTGGTGTATTTCTGATAGGCTTCGTACTGCTAGTCCATTGCTGCCTCTTTTTTGGTAGTATTGATAGTGCATGGCAGTCAGCATGTGCATCCCTTTCTGATTGTCACTATTTTTGGTGGGGGGGGGGTAACAAGAAATATTAGGAACTGATAATACAGGTTTTGTCACTTCTATAACACGATGTACATTGCCACCTATAGGCGAACATAGGGAACTATAAAGTACATCCAATACTGAAGAAAAAACGAAAAAATAACAGCTACCCAGTTGTACCTACCTATTGTAACCGAAAAAGGACCATTTTAAAGAGAAAATCATGCAAAAGATGACATGCAAGAATAGACAACATGCAAAGACAGGTGTACATGGCTGTTGTATGATATCAACGTGCGAAATTGAAAATCCATTATATTGCCTTTAACAATACACAAACACCAGAAAATCTGCAAGAATAAAGTGATAAATATCCAACTTTTCAGCATGTGGTGTAGAATATGTCTACTACCATAACGCTAACGTATTTTTCTATCATAGCATGACACTCCATTAACCATTAACCACCATTCAGCGTACTTAATTCAACCACCATGTAACTCCTTGGGTGCGTGCACACAAGTGCCGCATTAGAAGAAGATGTCTAAGCTCTGTGTTGCCTACGTGCTGTGCTGCGTGTGCATGCGTGCTGCTGCGTACGATTCTAAGCAAAACTAAACCTACGCCAGTAAACTGTGCAATACCTGAAAACGCTCCATTACCTAGACGTGGATTGTTATCGAGACCGCTTGCGTTAGACAGCACGCGGCTCGGATAGGGAGAGGCGCGAGGCGAAATCCCATCTAAAACACTGATCTGAGACAAGGTGACAGTTTCGGAGCGGCCCGAATAGGAAAGACTAAACACCGAAGACATGCTCCTGGCGTGCTGCGCCGCTCGCTTCCTATCCTTGTCCTGACGAAGATAATTAAATCAAGATGGAGAGAGAAGCCTGCACGAGTGTTTCAATGGTGATCAACTCAACCATACCTATTCTCATTCAACTCCTCCCAAAGTAAAATGAAGACTATTAAAGTTCCAGCATCATGCAGTGGCATGGAACAGAGGGTGCCTCCCAACATGGGGCGAGACTTCACACAATGGCAAGGGAAGGGGAAGGAATAACGAGATTTAAGAGAAGAGGAATAAGAAACGCGAAAGAAGCAGAATAGTCACCAATTGCTGTTGCAGAAGAAGAATAAACCATTCTCAGTGCTGATTGGTCACACGAAACTATAGAATATCTGCGAGTAGAGCTGCTAAGACTACAATGATGGCGCGTTAACACTCAGAGCCATATAGTGGTCACCAGAATGTGCAAAAAACATGAAGAGAGTGCAGAACCAGTAATCTCAGCTAACAGTATGCTGACCTATCCAACAAACACAGAGCAACATGACCAAGATGATAAAAATTCAAGCCAGCGAGGGTCAGGTTAGTGCAATCGAACCGGCACTCACTGTTATGTTGAAATATTTATAAAAATATAAAATTTGAAGAATATCATCACAGTTCACGTGTACATTTAATAGACTAATGTGTTAATTGAACGTTATACACGTTAACGTGATATACGTACACGTTATACGTGTTAATTGGTAAGCATGATAAAAAGGTATACTGATTAATTACAAAACGTTATTTAAATAGGTGTAGATGGGTAGGCCTACTTTGATGCGTGGAATATTTCAGTTCATTAGCAAAACGTGGTAGGTATTCTTGCTTGAGAAAAGGTCACAAGAGGAATCAGCAAGTTAGTTACCTGACTATGTTATCTAACACAATAATTTTTTTTCACAAAAGAAAGCACTTTAGAATGTGCTAATATATATCAATATATGAGCAGCTGAAAGATCATGTTTTAGTGCCTGAAAGAATAGCATAGATGATGATGCACACATGCGGGTGCATAGATGCAGGTGCAACTGAGGGAGATACGTATAACTGATGCGTGACTGACGCGACGCAATGCAGAGGGCAGCACATGCGCATGTAGATGCATACAGTCACCCAAAACTCCATGACAGATGGCGCTCTCGCTCTCGCTCAATTCACCACTGCCACAAGTAGATTTCTGTTACAATTTTTAACGCTTTTTTAATACAAGTTTCACAGCAGCCACGTTACTCGTATCTTATGTAATAAGATTTGGACTAATAAAAGTTGCAAAGATATTAAAAATCCGACCGTTATTTCATAAAAAATTTGATAAAATAGTGATACGAAATAGTACGCGGATTGTGCGCCCAGTTACCTCTTTCAAATCACGCTGTTTACGAATCTCCATCCTCAAGAGGCACTGCATGCAGTTTGACAGTCACCAACCAATCACCACTACATGGTACCAGCAAAGCACCACCCACTATGACTACTTCACTATCAAGAAATACAGATTCATGCTGTCGTATATACGTAAACGTTTAAGTATCTAAATCAAATATATGTTTTCTTATTCAGAAGAATGATGGAACAAGAGTTTGGCATGCACTAGCAGCGATTCCACTGCAAAATGATATGAGAGAGAGAGAGAGAGAGAGAGCAAAAGATGGTCAGACAGACAGAGGGCGAGGGGGACAGAGGTACAGAAAAACAAATAGACGCACGCACGCACACACGCAGAGAGAGAGAGTGAGACTGAGAGCAAGAGTAATAATGAAAGAGGGAAAGGGGAGGGGGAGAGAGAGAGAGTCAGACCAGGTGAGAATGAAAGAGAGGAAAGGGCGAGAGAGGTGAGGAGAAAGAGACAGAGTCGGGAGAGGGAGAGGGAAAGGGAGAGGGAAAGGGAGAGGGAGAGATAAGATAGATAGATAGAATAGATAGATAGATAGATAGATAGATAGATAGATAGATAGATAGCATAGATAGATAGATAGATAGATAGATAGTATAGGATAGGGAGATGGAGTAGTAACGACGACGAGCCGAGAGAGAGAGAGAGAGACAGGGAGAGCAAGAGGGAGGGAGAGCACAGCACACAAAGGATGATATCAGTAATTTATCTAGAAACACTATTCATTCACATCAATCTCACTTTCAGATTACACTACCTTTTCGGACAGCATATGGCACTCCGGCACTTACTTTCTTTATATAGCTCTTATCGATTCCCCACGTGTTTTTGTACAGCTTCAGGAGCAGGTCAGGCATAAGAGCTGCGATGGTCAGTAGTAGGATGATCAGCCATGACGTGACTGACCCCATCACTCGCATCACCACCCAATACATGTACGTCTGACCAGTCAGAGGCCTGCAAGCACAGAGAATGCGTGAATCATCATTCACACCGGCGATCATCCTCAATAGGCATCAAGCCAGCGACACTCACACGAGTTAAGCAATAAAGAAGCATGAAGCTGGGTTTACACTATGGACAAATTGACGAGATGATCAGTTCTTCAATGTTCTATCTACCTCTATATCAGATGTTCAAAGTTTTTACGTTATCGACCGCGAGTCGGCAAACGTTTCAACATTTGACCCTGTAGTGTGCGCGTGGGGCGACGCAGCTATGCATTTTTGCACATATTAATTCACGCCAGTGCGACTCAGATAGCAAAAACGTCCCTTGGGTAGAGGGACACAGCTCCTGAATGCTATAATCAGAGTAGATGAGTGGCAAAAACTTGATCAACATGCTGACCAAAAGTTGAGAAAATAGAAAATGTTCTAATACAATAAATAGAAAACTTAGAGATCCGATGAAGTTATTTAATCATAAATAGAAAACTAGTTCCTATCAGCTTGTTCAGCGCTCAAATTCTACGTTTACACTGCTGACTTTCAGTCGATTAACAGAAATGTTTATCAGCTCGTCAAGTTTCCAGCAAAACGTTGATAGTGTAAACCAGGGTTGTAGCCAGGACAATTTTACTGATTGTGTCATATGCATACATTATTATAATAGCAACATGGTGCTTAGCCAGCCGCTGTACGATGTGATCAGATAATGATTTTACACAAAATAATTATTGTTGAGATTAAACCCAGAGTTGTTTTTTTTAGATTAATTCTAAGTGTATCAGTTGTGATTATTTGTAGATTGCTCACTATTTTGAAGGTAAGTTTACACAAACTCAATCATTTTTGTGCCGGTCGGAAGGTGTAAACCCAGCTTGACACTGGGGGGGGGGCACGAAATTCTTTCTTTCTTTCCTTTTTTCCACCAGCCCAGAGGGCTGGTAACAGCAATTTTTTTACCAGCCCTCACCATAATTTACCAGCCCTCACAAATTTTGTTTGTAAAATCAATGTCATGTTTCAGGCTTGCATTATCGATTTCAAATGTGTAAAATGCTGATAAATAATGGTGTGACATCCTTCAGGTAAAACAGTAATGTAGGCTATTTGCTCATCAATGCTATAATAAATAAAACTGTAGATATATATATACTCGTTAACACGGCTGAAACCACCAGCTCCGAGGGCTGGTGTTTTGCCAATGTTACCGACCCTCCAAATAATTTGCCGGCATATGCCGGTGGTCCGGTGCTAACTTCGCGCCCTGCACTGGTACATGTGGGTACGTACATTGGGAAGCTGCTGTAGAAGAGGATAAAGCCGACAAAGCCAATGAAGGTGGACCACAGTGAGAAGTGAGTGATCCACGTCCAGTAATGCGTCTCCAGGCTCAGCTTGAGGTTGACGGCAATGATGATGACGATGTAGCAGAGAACGCCCATGCAGAACACATCCATTGTCTGTAACATTCACAAAATGATGATGCATGTAGCAGAGAACGCCCATGCAGAACACATCCATTGTCTGTAACATTCACAAAATGATGATGCATG